GCGTTGTACATTTTGTCACTTGTGTTATGTTGCTGATCGTGATGTGCTCAGCTGAGCAAATTTTGTTAACCGAAGTACTGGTACCTTTAGAATTTTATAACATATGCAAGCTCATGCATGAAATTTGCAACATGGAGCTTTGATGAAGGAAATTTTACAATAGGTCAGCAGCCTGACGGTTCAAACCACCCTGTGATACGCATCTTGAATGTGTTGTGTCCTCGTGGGAACTGTCCCGTTTATTTTGCTCTTGTTTCGTGGTTACGGGTTTGAGGCACCGCCATGAGACGTGGTATAGCGGTTGGTTTCAGCGACGTTGTCATGCCTTGGCCGTTGGCCGACCGATGGTCGGTGCCGACCGACCACCATCCGTGTTGGCAGCGACCACACAAGGGCGCTGAACCACCCTGGAAGGATTTTATCGTGCTGCGCGCCGCAATTGGACGACGGCAGCGCACATCACGTAGCAATAAGACAACGGCAGCGTGCATCACGTAGCAATTGAATGCGCGCCGTCCGGCGCGCGGTGGTGCGCGGTCATCATTCGTGTGACGTATTGGCGAGCAACCGCATGGTGCGCCTGGTGCGGCTGATGGCAACTCCGCCGCTGATTCGGCGGCGTATATTGAAATATCTATTAAGCTAAATGCTATAAAAAATTCGAGGTGCTGTCCGCCGCACTTGGGGTGGATTACGGACCATGCGCAGGCACTAAGTCGCCAGCAGGTCCGGTCACCCAAGTAGATCGGTAAATCAGCATCAGCTTTCAAACTAGTATATCGCCAAGTGCATGGGTGGAGTTGCGCAACGTGAGTTGGAAAGTTTGTGATGAACAGCGAAAATGACTCACCCACTACCCGAAATACAGTCACACAGCCTGCTTTTTTCTGGGTTCGGGCTTATTTCTTGTCGACGTTGTAATGGTCAGAACCATGTTATATGCAGTTAATACGATGAGGTGTCCAAAGTTTGGGTTCGCACGAGGACTAGCTTACATTCTCATTACTTGGAGCATAGTTTCGCGATGTAGGTTGGTTGGGAGAGTGGGAACGCTGAACAATACATGAGACGAAACCTCTCTCAGGAATACAAGGCATGAACTCCATTCGGGGAGGGAGATTTAGCACGAATTGAGATGGAGAGGAGGAGGGAGTCCCAGCTTAGCAAGGAACCACACACCAGCTCGTTCGGCTAGAGTTGCAGGTAAATTTTGTGACAAAAAGGCGTGTTTTATCCGTTGTCGGCATCTCTGAGCCCGTGCCACACAGAGGCCCTCACATTTGCCCCGAAATATGTCAACCAGCGGGCTACTCCACACAAGCGGGCTACGTACCATCAATTATCTCGTTAAGTTGGGTTTCGGGTTTCTAAACATGGGTTGAAAGTAAAATTGCGACCAAAGCCGGAAGAGGGGCCAAACTCATCCACTGGCCCCGCAATACCTGTTTTGTATCCAGGGGCGTGCGCAAAGTTGAACAATACTTGGGGAAACGACCAAAAAACTTAACTCAGAATGAAGCGAACCGCAGGCACAGCAAATTGTGTGCGTCTTAAAGCAGCATCGCATGATCTTGATCATCCTATTGCTACATGTCTATGTGGAAACATTGTTCATGGCCAAATAGGTCACGCGGCACTACTCGGCTATGTAAGGCATTCCACGACAAACTATTCGCTGCGCGCCGCTTCCCCGCCGTCCTTGAGACGTTCGGCCTCTACGCAGCGTACACTGTTCGGCCTCTACGCGGCGGTGCACGGTCGCGCAAAGCCACCCAATCATCAGCGCTCGAATCGGGCCATTGGCTGAGCGTTGGTATTCAGTAATCGGTTAGTCAGAGCGCTCCTCGAACAAGAGCAGCAGAGTACTACCATCGTCGCCTGTTTGTGTCAGGGAGATTTATGTCCATGTATGCAGGCACCCCCAGGTCAGATTCAGCAGCGTACACAACATTGCCATCATGCACAGAGGTCATGACCACACAGCAATGTCTGAAAAAGGCAAAGTTAAGCGATTTCAAAATTTTATTTGGTCTTACCAGATATGTTTGACATGTAAGTTTTGCAGCACAACGATTGATTCCTTCACATTGATGAATGACTGAATGCAAATCATTACCTCAGTGTGGAGCGGCTCAGCATTGGTGTAACCCACACTCACACATTTGCATGCTGACTGCAATGTGTGCAGACCAATGAACTGTTCGTTCACAGGACATGCTTACTCACTGATGCAAAGTGTGAAGTACTTGTATGTTGGTCAAAATGTCCACTACACATTGGCCATTGAGGAATTTTATGCAATTCCTGTCATGAATACACTCACATCTGTGCATGACATGGTTAACCAGCATGGTAATGACAAAACCCACTCAGCTGTGGAGCTACGCTCAGACTCAGATGCTCTTGTCTGTGGCCAGGGGGTGATAGCAGGCAGCTGCATTAGTTGCGAAGCTGATATGACAAATAAAGAGTGGTCATTTCTAAGTGAGGCCATATGTCAGCAGTTCAGATAACCCCTGAAAATGAACATATGCTCTTACATGCAGATACTCTTGTTATACATGTCAATGACTTTGATTCATCACTTACATCTTAAGGAACAACAAAAACAGAAGCAAATGACTTGCAGTGCATCAAAAAGTACATCATTCATGAATTAACAACCGACTCATATGGCATTCGCCAAAGGTCCGCATTCCCGTGATATGTCCTTGATAACTGTCATGCAATTAACCCATCCATGGTGACAATCAATGCGAGCCGCTACTGTAACTGCTCACGTCTTTCATGAGGCCCATGAGCATGAAAGCTCCTCCTTCTCCGCAGACGACTCGGAGTGCTTCATGTTGGTTACTTCTTAACAATGTAAAACAAAAAGCAATCTACACCGGAAAACGAGCCCCGCTGCTCAATGGCGCCGGTTTGCAATGGCGACCGTTACGGCGACATACATTGCACTCATAATTGGTAGGTTCTTGATGACCATCGGCAGCAAGCATTACGGGTTAATACTCTTCACCAAAAACAGATTGGAATATATGACACAATTATTAAAAATGATTGAAACACCAAACATTACAATTTTAGATAAACAAGTCTTACTGAGCCTCCTATTATTCAAGGCACTATTGTTCTAGGATGTGCGTCGGCATGACAGCTGTCTGCTCTTTGGGCCAAAAAAGGAACGTCAACCGGAGAAGAAAAAAAAAACAGATTTTACGTCGCATCTTCTGTTTTATAGTATTGGTGAGAGTGCCGGCCTTTTTTTCGGTGCCGTACTTTTTTGCGGACAGTGACGTTCTTTTTTATAACACCGGGGGAATATTACCGGTCCCGGTCAAGGACTGAAGAGCCATTCCACCCCATCGCGAAATGTCTTCTGGCTGTCATACTGGCGACACGGGGCGGGATCTCCTGGTTAATCCGGAGGCCATTAGAAATATATATCATATCACATTGTTCCTCTCCCTGACACGGGAGGCCTTCTGACCCGCTCAGCTCACCCCGGATCAGCACAGGAAGACTCATTGATGCAACAACATCCCTGATCGCCGTAGATGGTCCAATAATTGTCACATAGACTTCAGTTCCATGTCATGCCTTTTCTATGTTTCTCAAAGATATTGAAGACCCCTGAACGTGGATTGTAGATGAAAGAGGGTCCCAAATTTGTATGAACATGACTAATTCATGTTCGTCTTAAAATGTTCAAGATTCAGCCAGAATTAACTATCGATTAAAAAACTCTGCAGTACGGTTTTGAACATGCGCGCTCGTGAGTCATAGCAACAACAGCCCCGACGCCCGGCGTTGTAGACTCCATAGGCCGTGCGGCGTTGGCCCGTGGCTGACATTGAGCGATGGCCAATAAGCAAACAAAAAAGATGGCGCATGTTGAGAAAGATGACTGATGAGCCAGGCAAATTGGCATACATGTTTAATGCGATGCAAAATTGAGCTAAACGCAACCTTAATCCGAAAAGTGGGACGGGGACAGTTATCACTGCAGCCCCCCAACCTTGAAAAGTGGAGGGGGGGGGGGGGGGGAAGACATGGCCTCCTGTCCCCCTCCGCTGTTCATACACCCATACTTCGAATGCTCTTGTGGATTTAGATATAAGCAGCCGGAGGGGTCTCGTGTGCTTTCCACTTATACCTGAAAAGCAAGCAAGGGAATCAAGACGTTCATCTTTGATGAATAAAAGAAACTGCTCCGGTAGTCCGATTAGATGCCGACCTACTTGAAGGCATGCATCACTGTCATCTGGGTGAGTTGCATCAAACTTTTGAAATGTTCACTGTACTATTCGCTAGTTTCTTAGACAAATGGCTGCGCATAGCAGCTCAGTAGTGCAGTCTTGGCTACACAGCGAATATTGCCCTGGCAGCACATGTTCGGCTGGCCTTCATAAGCCCTAGAGTTTTTAGTAGAAGCCGCCGCCTGTCATAAATTCGCATGCTTCGAACGCACCAGAATCCACTAAATCCCAAGTAGCTCGCACATTGACTTAAAAACCCCAACCACTAACATGATGTCACTCGCGCCGCGCGTCGCCATCTTCACGGATGTCCCGCTGACTCCCGAGATGTTAAAACGTTTTGCAAGCCCAGAAGTCGACAAGTGTGACGTCATACCTTCGCGTCACGAATCCATCATGGCGGTCCGACCAATCATGGAGCAGGATTTCAACCACTGGTAGCACGGTAGCTTAGATGAATCGCGGCCCTAATGGTTAATTGTTTGTGACAAAACTGCATAATGTCCAACTAAATTAGTAAATTTTCATCCTCAGACATGTTTCGTCACCATGTAACTTTCAACTTGTTCTAGAATGCTTCTTAAAAGAACTCGTAGAAATAGTCAAAGTATATCAATTTTTACTGGACCGATGGTATAAGCCATGACACCGTTAGGAAGGTATTTCGGCTGCGTTGCCTTCTCGTATCATGGTTGACCTCGTACTCATGCTTTGATGACGAACATCGCATAGACCTACGAAACAGGTGCTCTGTTTTATTTATTATTACAAGCATTTATGCAACGGTGCACACACATACGGCTATATGATGACCGGGGATGATCGTTTAAATAATGCCTGGGACGCACGCCCCGGGAATTTATATACAAGTAAATATGTTACGTCACACAATCACACACAAGGATCATGAAACTCATACATTAGCTGGACATCGTAATGGTATGCCGAACAGCCATACGCATACACACGTGTTCGCGGCGCATTTATTCGTCAAAATCGCATGACTGCGTCGGTGGTGGGTGCCTGACACCAGCCAGTAACGGCGCTTTTGATCCCGACACCAGCCAGTAACGGCGCCTTTGGTCCTGACACCAGCCAGTGACGGCGCCTTTGATGCCGTCCCAATGGGTGATAGCTGCCGACCTGGCGCCATGCTGTGCTGGCCCCAGACATCGCGTCTAGGGCGGACTGATGTTCTCTGTGACCAATCGTCCCTTGCTGAGCTGGATGGGCCGCCGGTTCCTGATCAGCTTTATGTTGAACGTCTCGTCCTGGAAGATCTCGGCGTATAGCTGGATGATAAACTCCTGCTCCAGCAACATCTCGGTGGACGAGACCAGCCACAGCACCACTGGATTGCAGGGTGGCTCCGTCAAGCTACCGTAGTAGCTGTAGTACCGCGCCAGTGCGGTCTGCATCATCACCATCATCGGCGTAAGGTCAGCGTTGATGTGGATGGTGCTGTTGATGGCGGCCAGTTCCTCAAGGATTAAATCGATCTCGAATGTGGGGAACATGGGATGAGTGGCAGGCAGGTTCCAGGCGCCATTGAGCGGCACCGCCACAATCACCAGCCCGCCCGGGTGCTTCCTGGCCTCTTCGTACGTGTCGTACTTGTTGCTGGCAAACACCATCTGCGCCTCGGCATCGAAGAACTTGCCGTCGATAGTGTGCTCGGAACCATGGTCACCCTGGCCTTCTCCCCAGTGGAAGACCATCTCCAGGAACCTGTAGGTGCCGAAAGTCGGCTTGCTGGGAAAGGAGAGCTGCATGAGCGGTGCGGTTAAGTTCTCCGGCCGGAAGAAGAGCTTGATGTTGCGGCCAGTGTTCATGCCCTTGATCTCGCCGTTCTGCAAGCCTGGCGCAAAGTCCACCTTGACGCGCTCAGTCTCTGGCCCGCGGCTGCTGGGCGTTGGCACCACGTCAATGGGCGATTGTAGTGGGCCATCACACAGCGGGAAGTAGGTCTTCCAGGCCATCGGATCTTCGTAGTTCCAGAGCTCCAGCGGCGCGTCGGCGTGCAGCTGCAGCAGCTGCAGAACGAGCGCCCACGCCAGCATCTTGGCGCCTGTGGGGCTGGGTCCGCTGGGGGCTGCGTCCACTCGTCACTGCACCTCGGTCGTGGTCTCGAGCGGACCAACTGACGGACCGGCCGCCCAACCCCCCTCCTTTATGGACTGATGGCTGTGATTGTCCGCCGCGTCACGCTATGTCACGTGATCAGCCGTTTTCCTCCGATCCTAAACCAGCGCGCCGAAAACCAACCACCGGGCATTTTAACCTTTTTCGGACGGCATGGTGGGGCCGGTGCCTTTGGATCCGGAGTCCAGAGTGAGCCGTCCGAGCCGGTGAGACATCGGAGCTGCTCCGGATCCAGACATGTCCTAAGGAGGGACACTGTTGCGGATGGATGTGGATACGGACGAGCTGACACACCCTGATATGGATGGGCTGGCACACCCTGATCTCGATGGGCTGACACACCCTGATGTCGATGGGCTGACACACCCTGATGTAAATGGGCTGGCACACCCTGATCTCGATGGGCTGACACACCCTGATATGGATGGGCTGACACACCCTGATGTGGATGGGCTGACACACCCTGATGGGGATGGGCTGACACGCCCTGATGTGGATGGGCTGGCACACCCTGATGTGGATGGGCTGACACGCCCTGATGTGGATGGGCTGCCACGCCCTGATGTCGATGGGCTGACACACCCTGATGTCGATGGGCTGACACACCCTGATGGGGATGAGCTGACACGCCCTGATGTGGATGGGCTGGCACACCCTGATGTGGATGGGCTGCCACACCCTGATATGGTTGGGCTGACTGGCGCAGGGTCCAGTACATACAAAGTACAAAGTACTACCAGTACAAACAATCACTGTGAGTATGACAGGAGAGAAGATTGGCGTCTTGAGCGCGACGTGAAACATCGGGGTAGGTACTCGTGCTTATTCCTGATGCGACATGCATGACTGGCAAGTACCGTTTTCGGTGCCGGCAAAACTTATTTATAGCACATAAGCGCAGACGCATATAGACGGTGGGTAAAAGCGGCGATGTGTTACTTGTGTTGCCTCTCTTAAATAGGAAACAATTGTCATGTATTCAGGCGCACGTACGCTGCACTTGCTGCCTAAATTCTAGCATAATCTGCATCACATGAAATATAAAACGATTTGCCAAAATATATTTATTGTATGTCTGCCATCCACATGTACTCACCGGTTTGATGGTATTCGGCAAGATATCCTGGTGACACACACTTGACCAACTTGCAGCATGTGCAACGGTGTCAATACGCAGGCTAATGTAGCCAGGTACCTTTGGAAATCCGTACCCATGGGTCTGATCAAGAGAGTGCGCAGTATTTCGCAATGGGGAGGCTCAACGTAGCACGCGGAAAAATCACTGAAGACCCGGAGTACTGCTCAAATGTATGGCATAACATCAAAACGGCTTTTTCCATTTTTCTGTTTTGATCTGTCCGCTTATACTTTTGGTTTTTAATCGTCATTCGTCATTCGGGCACATATTACTGCTCGTTACAAATCTGACGCTGAGGGGGCGAGGCAAATGTCCTTGAGGGCTGATATGTAAATATGGCACTGAATCTGATGAATGCCTTGAATCGCCCGCCTTTCATCGGAGTTTAGGAGGCGGGAGTTCACGTTTGTAGTTTTCTGTTAATTTCGTGAATTCGCATGGCTTGAAACCGCTTGGCTATGGGTCTGGCCATAGGTGGCACTGTCAGTAGATAAAACTGATCCACTGGTAATGGTATACGGCATTGGTGGCTGTGACCTCAGCGGCGCAAAAGGCCAACGTGGCTCTGTACTTTGCATGGGCCCTCTCCCCCGGTTTAGGCACCAGCTCGCTGTACGCGTTTGAGACCTGAGGGGTATCAGAAACGGAGGCGCTGGCCCTATTCCCGGTTTATGGCTGACGCACCTATGAGTCGGACAGTGTTGAGGCCGCTAGTGAGCTATCGGGTTGAGAACAACATGTATTGAAGCTGGCATATACATTTGCCTACCGTACGGCTGATGCTGCGTCATTATTTTTAAGATTTCAACAGCGTTGAGCATGCTTATGCTTTGACTTATCACTCCATCTATCTTTATCCACAAGAAAACATAAGGGAGAGTGGGAGTGCGAGCGTTAGCGCGAACACGAATGAGAGTAAGAGTGCAAGCTTAAGTGCGAGAGAGAGAGAGAGAAAGAGAGAGAGAGAGAGAGAGAGAGAGAGAGAGAGAGAGATAGAGAGAGAGAGAGAGAGAGAGAGAGAGAGAGAGGGAGAGAGAGAGAGAGAGAGAGAGAGAGAGAGAGAGAGAGAGAGAGAGAGAGAGAGAGAGAGAGAGAGAGAGAGAGAGAGAGAGAGAGAGAGAGAGAGAGAGAGAGAGAGAGAGAGAGAGAGAGAGAGAGAGAGAGAGAGAGAGAGAGAGAGAGAGAGAGAGAGAGAGAGAGAGAGAGAGAAACACTCTCAACCTTGCGAGATCTGAATCCAGGCGTATACGGTTTGAGCATGTGCTGTGAAGCTGCATCTAGCTCACTCAGGAATTCATTGAGGAGAGAAAATTCGCTTGGCTGCCCGCAATTTAACCCTGATTGAGAGGCTAAGGAGCCAAAACAACGAAACTCAAAGATCGAAGGAGTCGCACTTGATGAGATTTAAAACCAATGGTTAAGCCATTCCACTGTTTCGTTGCGGCGTGTGATCAAAAACGATATGAATAACACATATCGCAAATATGATGTCGGCACAAATGCGAAAAAGAAATGGCCTGCAAAGATAAGATTTCCATGAGGTATGAGACGGCGGGGCAGTGGTAGTATGAGACGGCGGAGCAGTGGTAGTATGAGACGGCGGAGCAGTGGTTGTATGAGACGGCGGAGCAGTGGTTGTATGAGACGGCGGAGCAGTGGTAGAAAGAGACGGCGGAGCAGTGGTTGTTTCGACCACGGATCGTGTGTCACGCGCTTTTGTTGCGTTCTCACCATGTCTAAGCTATGATGGTCGCTGGGGAAGCTACATATTGAGCCGATATGCGGTATGTTGAAGATGTCCGCTTAAGCTGAACAGCAGGCAGCCGCGGTTATTGTCCACATGCTGGAAGGTTAATATCTATTGTATTTATCCGTACCCGGTGGTATCTTTCCACAGGTCACTTTGTTTTCGTAACGGCAGTCTGCGTTTCGTCGCATGGTTGCAGTGAACACCCGCTTCAACGCCCATGCTTGACCACACGTGGTACTCCTTGTGTCACCAGAGAAGCTGAGATGAGGGAGAGATAGGTATTCAGAGGAACGACGCACCTTCAACCGTATTTTGTAAACTGCATATGACTTTCCTGTCACTTGGCGTTTCATGCTACTGGCTAAAGCTTCAAAGTCTTTTGATGCCAACAGTGCAAAAAACTTGGAACCGTGAGAACAGCTTTTGACTTCAGACGCAACAAATATGGGCGTTCTTTTTGCGACACCCTGTATCTCAGCTGGCAGTGATGACAGCCAAAAACCCAAGATCGAGTAAACCTTCTCAAGACCATGTGATGTCAACCACAGATGAACCGGTTGGCACTTGTGTGATCTTGAAGGGGGCGCAAGAAAATTTTGGGCTTTGCTTACCATGGAGACGAACCCTTCCACCCGAACGTGGTTGTTTTTCACTGGAGACATGCCATCGTACTTTCTTTTTTCAGAGCAGAGAGCCCCAGCCAGCTGAGCCACGGCCGGACGATCCCGAACCTGCTGAGCTCCGGACGAAGAAACCCGAGCCCGCTGGGTTCCACACGGAGAAACCCGAGCCTTGCTGAATTCCGGCCGGACAATCCCGATCTGCTGAACCCCGGCTCAATTGGAATGGTTCGCTCTGTTCGGTGTCGATGACCGAGAATGCTGTTGTACTTTGGTCTCCTGATCCTTAGGCAGCTTGTCCCATATGTGTACTCTTGCTCTTCTGCTGTGCGTGTTACTTCCGCGTCCGTTGTTTGGTTTACAGTTTCTGTTTATGCTGGCCTCAGGATTTTTGAATATTGGTCGTGACATACGCTTGGCAGCGCGATTTGCTTCATGTTTTCCGCATAGTTGGATTACTTCCTTTTTTCCTTAATAATACGCCTACAAAATTCTACGGAAACGCACGGGTATACTTCACCTGTAGCATGACGGGATCTACTTTACAACACAAAAGTGCAATCGTAACAGCATGTCTGCACTTTAGACGTGTGCTGGAGACACTTAGGTCATATGACCTGGACACTGGAGACACCGGAGACACTTCAGTCATATAACCAGTCAGCATGACTGGTCATAGACATTCTTATCTTGAGTAAGCTGTTTAAGACATTTAGCTGTATAGTGAAATATTTAGTTGCAGCTATTTCCAGTCGTCACCGCCTTAACTCGCTTAACTTAAAACCGGAAAAGGGCTGATCAGGGGGCCAAAAATGGCTCGGGAATGACAAGGGCACCATAGCTTACATGGGTCCACCCTAGTTGTTGCACTCAGCTCACCAACGTTGCGGCCTCGCTCATTTTTCAGCTGAAACCCTGAAGGCGAGCCTTCGTTTTAAATCGTCGTGACCAGGATATTCTTCGCATCGTTTGTGGTGAATAATGGCAAACGTACCCGGAAAGTGGTCCGACACGAAGCCTGAATATGGCTCTGTGGTGACGGTGATAGCCCCCAAAACTATGGCGTGCTAATGAACACTCACAATAGTCGGACTTACACGCTGTGGCAACCCGACACAAAGGCGCGGAAGGGCTTGTAATAATATCAATTTAAAATCCAGTTATTTGTTTGGATAGGTATTTGTTAACTGTGCTCCTGTGATGTTTATCTCATTGATGACATCGAAAAGCTCTGCATTAAGGGCTATCGCTTGTGTTACCCGTCATGAGCAGTCTGACTGCAGTTATCACGGCCAGCCCGAGCAAGACATCTACCTCACGAACAGTCTGGCTGCAGTCATCACGGCCAGCCCGAGCAAGACATCTACCTGACGAACAGTCTGGCTGCAGTCATCACGGACAGCCCGAGCCAGACATCTACCTCACGAACAGTCTGGCTGCAGTCATCACGGCCAGCCCGGGCAAGATATCTACCTGA